GCGCCCTCTGCGGTTCCGCTGGAACGCCTACATTCAGGAGGGGACAACACAGACACAAGTGATCGTCGCCTACCCCAGGAGAGTCAGGGAAAATATGGGAACTGGGGGGGACGACGAAAACCCAGCAAATTTGGAAAATATTTGGAATCCTGGGATTTGTATCTATTTATTTGTGTGTCCCTGGGCCCCTTCATACATACCTCAGCACCACCTCAGCACCGCCCAGACCTTCGCCGTGAGATCTGTGACGTCCCTCTCTGCGACAGGACTGTACTTCTCGTTTGCCTGGAGCCTTTGCTGGCGGCCGACATCAAACTGGCCCTCCCCAGCGCACGCCCTCGCGACTGACTCTGCCGGCGTGGCACCTCCCGCGGGCGAGGGCGCTCGGGTGGATCCTCCCCTGGAGCCCCGCCGCAACCACTGGTCTCGGTCGCCGCCCAGGCCCACTCGGGGTCCGCGCAGCAGGTCCTGGCCCGCCGACAGGGGTGCCGATGGGGGCATCGCCCACCGAGCCCCAGCAGCGCTCTCCCAGCCCGGGCGCTCCGCAGGACGATCCCGAAAGTCGCACCTGGCGCTCACGGTCGCAGGCCTACTCCTTTGGCCCCCCTTGGGGCCCGCGGAGCCTTCCTGGCGTCTCGCCGGCACTACCACTTTCGAGCAGCTCGCACGCCACGACAAAGCATGCATTGCTAAGCCGCTGAGGACTACATCGAGCCGGGCTTCCTGCAAACCGCCGTGTGGCCTGACTTTCCTGAGGCGCCACCAGGAAATTCAGGCCGACCCCTCGCACGGCCGCAGCCAATTCCTCACCAACTTCCTCGAGCGTGCGTACGGCTACAAAACTAGAAACAACGCACACCCGGCCAAGACAGTCCCTTCGACCGGCTGCCCCCGCAGTTACGACCCGGCCACCGCCTTCCCGCCATCGGACCTCCTGGCGCGCCTTGCCACCGCCCCGTCCCGCCCAGGTCATTCGCTCCCCACCTCGACCCCAAGCTCAACCCTCCTGAGCTTGCGGGTGCGGCCGTGGACGGCTTCGCGATTCACCAGCTCGACGACTCGAGGACTCACGCTCACGCAGCAGCGCGAGCTCGTCCAGCTGCTCGTCAAAGCACAGCCTGGGGCCCAGGGACGGCCGCCGGACCCCCTTGTGGGGAGCTGCTATCCTGGGCTCGGCCTCTGCGTCCCCCGCCCCGGACACAGGTGGAACCGGGAATGGCCCCGCAGCTTCGGTGCGACGGAGTTCGCCGCGCCGCCCATGCAACTCGGCGCTGCCCGAAGCCCGTCGGTGCCGCCCCCTCGCCGAGCGCCACGTCCGCCCACCACAGGGCGGCCTCTCCTGGCACATCCCGGGCGAGACCTGGTGCGCCGCGCCACGCCCGGCCTGGCCCCGGCCTGGCCCCGGCCTGGCCGCGCCTCCCCCCTTCCGGCCGCTCCCTCCCCCTCCAGCCGCCCCCCCCCGGCCCCCAGCCCCTCCCGCTCGCGCGAGCGGCCGCCGCCTGGGCGCCAGAGCCCGAGCGGCCCCGGCCTCCCCTGCCTGCCCCCTCCCTCGCCACTTGGGGGGCGCCGCGCCCGGCGTGCCGGCGCCCCTCGGGGCACGCGCGGCCGGCTCCTTCCGGCCAGCGCGCCGCGGGCGCCCGCGCGACGCCGCGCCTCGAACGGCCAGCGCTGCTCCGGGCGCGCCGCGCCCCTCCCGGGCGCCCGCGCGCCGGCGCCGCGGATCTCCCCGCGCTGGGAGCGCCATCGGCGCCAAGCCTCTCCCCCGCACCTAAAGTTAAGTCGGGCCTGTCCCCCTACAGGGGGATTTTCGAGGGGGGAAAAAATACCCCCAAAATAATCAAACAAATAGTCCAAACATAGTCTGGGGACTTTTTTTTTTTTTTTGTTTGTTTGTTTTTTTTTGTTGTTTTTGTTTTTGCCATTTTGGGGTATTTTTTGAGTATCTTTTTAATTTTTCGTCGAAGATCCCCCTGTAGGGGGACACGCCCGACTTAAACCTAAAGCTCGGGCGCGGTCCGGCAAGCTCCACGCTGCCCCCGAGGAGACCCTTCCTGCTGAACAGCGGGCCCTCGCCAGGCCTGGAGTCGTTCCCCCATCGTGCGCGTCGGCTGTATCCCTGGACGATGCCTTGTCAGTCGCGTCCTGGCCTTGCTCGCGGACGACGCCACTCACGCGGCGCAGGCTGCCGCTCTCCCCGGGGTCGGGCCACCGCCAACGGTCCAGTCGCGGGCGACGGTGAAGGGCCCATGCTGGATCCTCACCTGCACGGATGCCCAGCTCAGCAGTTTTTTTTTCAAGGTCCCAGCCTGGGTCGCGCTCGTGGGCGCGGGGGGCCCTGCGGAGGAGCCCAGCTCGCAGAGACGGGGCGCCTCCAGGGAGAGCTCTCGCGGCCGCGCCGCCCTCCGCCTTGCTCCAGGCGCTGCCCTGGCGCGCCCCAGGGCGGCCGAGGCCCCTTCCGTGGGCCAGGCCTCAGACGGCCATCCTGTTGCGGGCAGCCCTG